CCCCAAAACAGAGGACCTACTACTCACTCAACCCAAGGCCTAAGTAAGAGCCAAGTTTTCAAGACTCTTTTAAACACAGTCAAGGTAGGAACCCAGCAAATCATAATAAAATGATAAGAATATTCAAACTTACATCTACTGGACCAGTTTTTAGGAGCCTTTTTCCACAGAACAAATCTATTACATTTCATTTTTTTTTATACAGCACACAATATATATTTCAAAATAAATTTAGTTTCTTTCAGTAGAAAAAATGCCAGTGTCCATGTGGTTCCAGTATGCAACTGCTTTATTTTGATTCTAGTCATGAAAAATAAAATTATCAGCAATGAATCATCCAAAATGCAGTATCTATATTGCAAGCCATTGAATCAACCTCATAATATTTCGGTATAGTCAGATGTTAGGAATTCTACCTTCGGTTAGTTTTAGTGTCCAGATGAAAAGCTAGCAAACAATGAAAACAATGTATTTTATGTAATGTGGAAAGTGCATGTTTACTGTACGCTCTTATCTGAAGGCTGAAGTTTCAAGTACTATAAGATCATAAGTACATTAAAAAATTGGTGCTACATCAGAGCAAAAACTGTTTCTACAGTGGAACAAAATGGCTGTAAGAAGCCATAAACAGGATGTGCCTGCAGTAACTCCCTCCTATTCAGTGGTCTCTAGTAACTGGAATTTATGAATGCACTTATATATTTCTTGAAAACATGTGTTAGTATTTCCACACTTAAATTAGAAAGAACTACAGGTAGTCCTTGCTTAATGATCACAATAGGGACTGGAAAATTCATTGTTAAGCAGGGTGGTCATTAAGTGAGGCATCATGTGACCGCATCCGATTTTACAACATTTTTTTGCAGCAGTCGTTAAGCAAATCACATAGTTCCCCATTGATTTTGCTTGCCAGAAGCTTGCTGGGAAGGTCACAAATGGTGATCGCATGACTGTGGGACGCTGCAACTGTTGTGAATTTGAACTGGTTGCCAAGCTCCCGATTGTGGTCACGTGACTGCAAGGGGACTGCGACAGTTGTAAGTGCGAGGACTGTTCGTAAGTAGCTTTTACTGCTGTTGTAACTTTGGTCACTAAATGAATGGTGACCTTAAGCAAGGACTACCCATATTATATGTCTTTGAACTGTGGTGCTGGAGAAGACTCTTAAGAGTCCCCAGGACTGCTAGGAGGTCAAACCAGTCAATCTTAAAGGAAATTAACCCTGATTGCTCATTGGA